AATGTTCTTGCTAAGGTGCTCTCCCCTTCCTACCTGCCTGATGAAAATCATCTAATTTTACTTACTTACTGCTCAAAATCATCTAATTTTATTTAATCCTGGAACTTTTCAAAAAAATCTAATTGCCATCAAATATAATTTCAACTATACCTGCAACAAATCCATTTTATGTAACCTCATTAAATTATACATTTATTGTAAATAAATTGGCTTCTAACTCTATTCCAATATGTTCTGAGAGAGTAATAGTTTTGTCTTATCTGTCATCTTTACCATTACATAGCATATCATTTGACACACAGTTTATTTGAATTAAATTAAAAAATAAATGACTTGCTTGAGATTGTTTACATTTTAAATGTGAGTCAAGTTTCTATGCTACCCAAGAGAAGCATATAGTTCTCTGGAAATACAATAGATACTAAATTACTAAAATCACAGACATAGCAACATACTAACTGAACTAACACCAAATGTACTATTATTTTGTGATTCACTCCATGCATTTCACAGAAAACATCAAATTTCAAGTGCTTTTATTCATTTATTTGCATTTTGAACATTCTACCTTGTTCCAAAAGCATTTTCAGGCAGCTTACCAAAAGAATGCATGAACATAAATTATGAAATAAGATATAAATAGAAGTCTATCCATTCATTGAGCTGGTAATCAAGAGAGGGGGGAAAGAAGTTAAAAAAAGGAATAAGTACAATTATAGAGAAAAGCACCAGTGTGTTGTGAAGAAAAACATGGAAGACAGACTTATAGTAATAGGAAGTGATATCTCAAGTAGATGGTACTCTGAGCTGACCCAGTCTGTATGTTATGTTTGTGATTGGGGACCAGTGTGGATTGATTCCCAGTTCCTGGCTCAATTGTAGTATTATGCACAGCTTAGAGAATACAGGCTAAAATTCTGATGAGAGATATGATATCAGTCATCTATATAGAAAGCAAAAGAGTCACTTAAAATTGTAGAAAATAATAGAGACTCTGTGCCTTTGTTTCTGTCATTCTCCTTCCATTTGGTTTTATTCTTCACATCTAACATTATTTTCTTCACTTATATTTTTACCCATGCCTGACCTTATGTTTTGAAAATGACCAACCTCACAGCCTTAAATAAGAAGTACAGAATAAGATTAAATTTTGGGAAATTGGGTTTTTTTAAACTGGGTTTGCCTAGTTCTTAAAAGAAACAAAATATTTATTTAAGGACATGAATATTCTAAAAAGTACTTCATAGCAGTAAATACTAGTTCAAATAGTGAAATAACAAATATTGAATTGGACTATTTATTTTCATAGTTCTAGTATAAACCTAGGGTTACTGAGAAAATTTTATAACACGTATGTTTTAATTGGGTTCTTTTAATAGTAGTCAGTAATGAATCAGACAAGGTAATATCTTCTAGTAATGGCCTAGCATTCAGATATTCTTTGGATACCCTCATAGCAGACCTATGTCTCATAACGAATAGTAATAGAATACATTATATGGATTTAATGTGTACTCCTCTTTAATGGATCTTAGAATTGTAAATTTGTTATGAATTCAAAAATATTTTTCTCTATACATATAATTTTAATCTTATACAGATAGGAATAAATTGCTTCATAGATTTGTAGTAGGTAATTATTTTCAAATGAACTAAGGGGAGTTCTTTACTCTTTTAAAATGAGACTTTGTAAAATGCTGAGCCAGAAAAGCTTGACTGAGCTATCACTATGAATTAAGAAGGTCTGGCAGCTGGGGGTACCCTGCCCTACCTTCAATGAATTGGTAAGAAATCATAGGTGCCAAACTCTGGGTTTTGACTGAAGATTGTACTCATGGCTGTTGCACTTTGCTTGCCACTGCATCTAAAAATAGTCACATCTCCAAGTTCTAAGGGAGTATTTGGAAGCCAATTCATGACTTTCCAAAGTGTGAAGTCTGCTTTAGAAGTTCATACTTATATTGAGAAATTGAGGACAAACTTTAACGTTTAAAAAATAAGATGAAACTAAGTCAGCAAAAGTCACAAAAATATTTTGTACTTAATTTTATTGCTGTTTATTATGGTGCTCACAATGTTGGAATAAAACAAGAAATACCAATATACAAATATGCAGGACTGATATTTGACTAGTGCATGCTGGCACAATACTTCTGGTTATTTTTATAACTGTTATCTATGCATTTTAGTCAGAGTATTTGTTCTGATTTGTTAGTACTTCTGCTCTAGAATTTGTTAAGTATTTTTAGAATTGACTGTGCATTAAAGGTTATTCAAGTTGGTGTTGGCAGGAAGGTGTTTGTAAGGGTCAGTACAGTTTCAATCTGCAGACTATTCTTGCAATAAGAGGCATTTGTATTTTATATTTCTTTGTCTAAATATCTGAGCCCTATACTATAATTCCTGATCTAACTTAAATATTCGTATCCACAAAACCTTCCTTGAGCTTTGTCGCTCAATGTTTATGTTTTCTTTCAAAATTATAAAATATTATAACTCTAACTCTTGTATACCATTCTCTACCCTCTTCCTTATTAATAGTTAGAACTGTCACTACTCTCCACTAAGAAACTGCTTTTCGATGTGGTTTAAAATATACATTATTTAATTAGGCTTTCCCAAAGTATTCAATATGACTTTGTTGTAATTCTCTTCCTTTTTTAAACTACAAACTGAAGCAAGGAGAAGCTAAGGAACATTCCCAAGGGCCAAATTCTCTGTAAATTCAATCTGATTTAATTTTATATGGTGTTAGGTAGAGTTGAAGCACTGTAAACACTATACAGTACATACTTTGTGGAAATCTCCCTTTAGAGGACTGACTTAGTGATAGAAACTTCAGTTGGGATATTTTAAGAAATAGTATTCCCAGGAAAAGAGCTTCTTCAAAGAAAAGGTCATATAGCATGGTGTTAAAAGCAGAGTTTAGAATTCATACACATCACTTGGTAGGGAACAGATGTTGTCATGTCACGTCACAAAATCTCTTTGACTTCCATTTGTGAATTTGTAAGATGGGGTTAATAATAAAATTTATTTCTTATCCAGTAGTGAAGTTTGTCAGAGTTGATACCCACAGGCTTAACACTCAACCTAACATTTCTTAGTGCTCAAGACATTAGCTGTCATCTTGTTATCAGTTATACACTTAGGGATTACTCTCCATTTGTGGCATAGGAATTATACATGTCATTACTGAGGATATATTGTTTTATACTTTTATAAAGTTAGAAATGGTAATCCCTCACCCTTTTTCCCTTTATATTCCAGCCAGATCTGGAATTTCTATCACTACTAGTGAAGTACAGGGAATCCTGGCCTGTTTTCATATACTCCTGGGATTTCAGAGGCTCTTTCTTATCTTATTTTACTTGGTCTTTTTGAAAATTCTTAGTAAAAAGTAATAGATGTTTGAAATTTTGTTACGAACCAATTGATCCTCTAAATCCATAGAGTTATACTATTCACTATTTAGGATAATTCATTGTTGGCTCATTGCCACAAAGTATGTATTATATAGTGTTTGTAATTCTTCAGCTATAGCTAACACCATATAAAATGATATCAAATTGAGCTTATAGAGAATCTGGCCCTTGGGAACATTCCTTAGCCTCTCCCTGCTTCAGTTTCTAGTTTTAAAAAAGGGGAATAATTACAACAAAGTCATATTGTATACTATGGGAAAGCCTAGTTACCTAAATAGATAACTAACAGTACATTTATATTAGCATAGAAATGCAGGTAAATGTTTTTATTTCCAAGTTACATTAATTCAGCTACATATTTTGAGCCTATCTCTTGGAAGGCATAATGTTAACTGATATGATTTCAATGGTGAACAAGATGAAATTAGCACCAACACTCATTGAAGAAATATTCTAATGAGAAAGGAAGATGTTGACCAAATCACAGCTTAAGAAGGAATTTACACATAATTGCCAGGATGAAAACAAAGTGGATGCCAGGGAAGGGCATGCAGCGAGAACAGAAACTACATTAGGTAGAGTAGCTTTGTTGGGGAAGGTCTTTCTGAGAAAATGACATTTAAACCAAGATCAAAATTTGAGAGGGAATCGATCATGTGAAAAATGGGATGGAGGCAAGGTATTTTGTGGTAAGATTAATCAAAGCAAAAAGGTAATAAGTGTAAAATCTGAAATTATTTTACTCAAACTGATATGAGCAGAAGAAAGAACTCATGGTAAGAGTGTTGATTTTATTGCAAGTTCTATGAAATAATATTTGAAAGATTTCAGCAGAGCAATGCCATAATCCAATTTATCTCTGTGTCTGTAGCATGTCTAAAGATTGGATGATGTTAAGCAAAACTGGGGGAACACAAAAGAAAGTCACATGGTCCAGGCGGGACATAATAATGACCCAGACTAGAGTGGGTAAGAACTGAACTGGGGATTATAAAGAGGAACACAGTGTGGATGAACTAAGCAAAAATCCCAGAGTTGGTATTTCAACTTTCTTCTATGTTTTTAGCATATATTACATTGCCATCTGTGTATGGTTATAATTTCCCCCCCATGTGAGTAAAACCTTGATGTATAATAATTACATGAATGAGAGAAAATCTGTTATCAAGTTAAATTTCTTAAGATTATTTATTATAGATGACTTGATCTTGTTGGAATATTTCTGCATTTCACTTATTCATCTGTTCATTCATTTCACAAAATATTTGAGTGATTTGTAAGAGTAAAAAATGTTGTACCATTTATTTGTTTTATTTATTATTGTTTATTTTTCATCTGGACACCAGAAAATGGTTCTCCAGGAAAATGATACCATTAATTTTATCCTGGGTGTTTCCTTGCCCTCATGGTTTTAGGACGTAGTTAATTCCTTTTATTTATTTCCCTGAATGTCTTCTTTCTAATAGATAATGATGTTTATGAAAATACCTTTTTTTCAGAATTTTAAATGGAGTTTTAAAAATGTTAAGCAGCAGGCCCAACCCACATTCTATTAATTCTTGTATTTTTCAATAGAAAAAAGAAAAATCTTCTGTCATGATCCAGAACAATGCTTATGCCGTGGCTGTTGCCAATTATGCCCCGAGTCTTTCAAAAGATCCGGTTCTCTCCACCATCTCGAAGAGTGCAACCACGCCAGAACCCAACAAGAAGCCAGAAAACAAGCCAGCTGAAGCCAAGAAAACCTTCAACAGTGTCAGCAAAATTGACAGAATGTCTAGAATAGTTTTCCCAGTTTTGTTTGGTACATTTAATTTAGTTTATTGGGCTACGTATTTAAACAGGGAACCTGTATTAGGGGTCAGTCCTTGAACCTTACACAGTTACCTTGGGGATGTAAAGCAACATTAAACTTCATTTGTTTTGCTCTGTACAGTCTGACTAATAACTGCTAATTTGTGAACCAACATGTACAGTGTGTATATAGCAATTTAGCTCACCAGTAGCCCTCTAATGGAGACGCGCATTTGCTAACTCTAACTCGTGGAACTGCAGACAGAAAGTACCAATGCCAAAAGAGCCATTGCCATTTTTAAAACCTTAACCCTAAGACCTGGTTAAAAGTGAATTTCAAATGACCTGACTTATTTCCTATTCTTGCAACACTGATGAAAATGGGGATCCTCTATCACCCTTCAGGGATCCTTTTGTCTTAGGTCTTAGGCAGGAGTGTTTTTCACTATTGCCTAACTGTAATGTAAAATAACATCCTCATTCCGAGATAAACTCTAAATACCATAATCTCATATCTGCATCATCAGCTCCCTTCCTGAGTGCCAGAATCCCTGCTAGTGTAATTGGAAGCTTGGCACACATCAGAAGAAAAACTAGACATTTGAAATCAGCTTTTAATTATTCTGTATAGTAACTATAGTCATGTACATATAACAGCATGATAAGCTCAAATAATTATGAGTCACCCCTGACAGGATGTTAATTATACCTAGAATTTAGAAACTATCAGAATGTCATGGTCATTACACTTTTAGCATTAGACTTTATTTGAGAATAATAATTGAAATCTTCCAGATTATTTTAATTATTGGAAACTACCTTAAATTAAAAAAGACAAATGCGTCTTACCCTTTCCAGGTATGAGTTGTATTGAAATTGATCAGCTAAATTTTCTTGGTGCTGGAGACTGGAGAAGGAATCCAGTTTGGCTGCTGTGACGCAATGTTCATATTGGATTAGAAAACTGTGCCAAAAACTCCCTTCGAGGAGAATTCATAGGTGTCAAAGAGTATAGATGAGCACTTATACGATTCTCTTCTTTCCTGTTTACTGCAAATTCTGCCTTAAGGCTTCTTTTCATCAGGACATAGAAGCCACTAATTATAAAGAAAAGGGCAGTTAATTGGCACATTTTTCTGTCTTGAAAGCAGCTCTTTCAGATAAGATTTAATGTAAATCTGCTTTTGTAAATTGCAACTTTAAATTTCGCTGACTCAAATTTACAACAGCTTTGTATACCAGAAGAGGTTTTGGTAAGAGTTAAACATTTTTAAACTGAACTTTAAAGCATCACCTACAGATTGTGGATTAGTTCATATGTGCAAAATGTAAACACAGGCATTCACATATACACACAATTAGCTAAATTAGAATACAGACACAAACAGTAGTTAAATTAAAACAATTTTCAATTTTACATAATTACTAATTATTAATTGGTAAAATCAATCTTTCTTTTAATATTGAAATTACTCCTTATGTCCCTAAAATATGCTAATAAAAGTCAATAATTGACTCTTGCCTAGATTCAACATTTTTGACAAACTAAAAATCCTTTTGACCCACGTATACATTAGCAGTTATTAGTTGACTTTTACTAATAGCTACACCTTTATAATGGTGTTTTTATAGAAATATTAGTAGTCGGATAGTGGCATTTCATGCAGTTTTGTATAGTATTTCAGTATAGTGCATAAATAGATATGTTCATAAAATTGATTAAAGGGAATATCTTATGGAAATAAGCAAAATCACAACAAAAGTTGTTATTCCTTTGTTTCTTTTACATTTTAGTTTTTTAAATTTTCTTCATTTTAGTGTGATTCTATTATGTATTTGCATGATCGTATTAATACCAAGGTCACAAATGCATCTTATTAACAGAATCTGCTGTGAAGACAGCCTTGGCATTAAAAATTCCCGTACAAAAGGTAATCCATAATCCTTAATAAAATTGTTACTTGAGCCAAAAATGTATTTATTTAATTTCCTTCCAGTAACATTTTTTGTCATCAAAATAGTTTGAAAATGTGTACTTTATTCATACATTGAAATAGAAGATATCCTATTTTCTTACACATTTAAATATAGATTAGTTTTCTGTGTTGTTTAGGGAAGTGTGCAATAGTAGGCAATAAAAATGCTTTGTATGGTATGTATTATTAGACACTTTACAAATAATTTTATAAGTTCTGCATTGCCCCCTAAAGTCTGCCTATTATTATAAATTTATAAATATGTACATATGTAAAAATAGTTGTAAATAGCAGTTTCTGTAGGACAACATGACTCATCTTTGTTTTTTTTTTTTTTTTTTTTTTTTTTTTTTTTATAGAGGCATGTTATTTATTTATTTGTTTGTTTGTTTTGTTTATACATGCACTGGGTACAGTCAGAAGCGCGGGAGGGTGAGAGAATTCACCAGAGCCAGAGCGGGGAGCAGAGCAGGCAGAAGGACTGAAGTACACTGCTGAGGGGAGCAGCGGGCGGCAGGAGAGGTCTGCACGCCATGTGGGACCCTCCTCCAGTGGCCGGGGAGCAGCCGGGGATCGAACTGGCGCTGCAGAGGCCGGTTAGCTTCGCAACCCAGCGCTCAACCGCTGCGCCACCGGGGAGGCCCGACTCATCTTTGTTTTGGGCAAAACACTGCATCTATATAGATGGCACCAGTTTTATGAAAATTTATGGAAGATTGACTAGAAATGTTATTACCATTATTGTTATTCTTATTTTAGTATCAATTATTAAAATCTTATTTGAGTCTAATGGCATCCTTACAGTTCAGATTTTCTGATAATGTGGTTCAAGATCTATAATTTCTCTAGCTTCAGTGTGTTTTTTACACATTTCTTAAGTCTTTAAAGTTTAGATGAACCAAAAAGAACTTTTGGGCTTGGTGGAGGGAAGGAGAATGTTCTATGGGTATAGATTTTAAATTACAGAACCATGGTCTTTACAAATAGTCTCCCTTCCATAAACCGTTAAGTGATGTGAATTATCAAAATAAGACTCATTTTTCAGGAAATGCTTAAATATATGAATAGTGGTGTTTTTAGCCCATATTCTGCCTGTTTTATGCAGTTGCACATTGACATACAGAGTAGCAGTATGTATAAAATGTAGATAAATACATGTCTGTAGACATATAATCTCATTGTTATAAAGCTGCTATTCTGATTCAGCTAATATTTCTTATTTTTTTTTTTGCCTCCTACTTTGTGCCATGGCATGTGAAGATGGTGTTAATATCATTCTTATCACACCCACAGAACTTAGATGAAAATTAAAGTGCATCTCATTCTTGTAAAGGCTTAAAATCAAAGACTAAATGGAACATGCAAATTAGTTTAGAACTGAGAGCTGTTTAATGAGCTGTAAGATCACTACTTGGCTAAGGTGGTGGCTGTTTGCTGCATTTCCCCATCCATGTACCTATTTGTTTCAATATAAAAAGGAACTAGTATAACCATTTAGTTAATTTTTACAACATCAGTTACTTAATGCCAATATCAGGGTTTTTGGGCATCAGTCTCTTTCATATTTTTCTCAGGTTTGAAGAAGTGACACCCTTTAGTCACATTCTCATTTTTTCCCCAATAGTTGACAATTTATTTTATAAAACACAAAGAAACTACTCACTCATGATTTTCCTTTGTAAATATGTGTGTATACATACACATGTATACACGTTTGTGTATATACTTGTGTTTACATGTATGTATGTGTGTAAATCACATGTGTGTTCATGTAACTCTAAAATTTTGGTTGCAAAGAACTAAACCCTGACATTTGTAATCATACTATAACAATACTACAGGAACACTAAGCTCCAAAGCTCTATGAATTCCATGGTACCGTTTTGTGGCATGGTTTGTCATCAGTCCATTGGGCGGAAAATGAAAGTAACTCAAGTTGTTTGAAAAATCATGGCGCTTTCATCATTTATTGTATTTTTTTTTTCTTTTCCTCCTTATTTGATGCCCTCAGCTGGTGCTTGTGAAGCATTAAGCTGTGTATTACTTAATTTAAAATCTGGGACCAGGGGCCTCCCCTGGTGGCGCAGCGGTTATGTGCTGGGTTGTGAGGCTGCCAGCAGCTTCTGCAGTGCCAGTTCGATCCCCGGCCACTGGTAAGGGTCCCACCAAAAACAAAAACAAAAAATAAATAAATAAATAAAAAATAAATAAATAAAATCTGGGACCATATTTATATCTTTATTAAACAGGTTGCTCCTGTTTTTGGTCTTTTGGTACATTTATATCCATCTGCATATTCCTTAAGCAGTTGTCTTTTTTTAATATAAAAATAGTCAGTATTTCAGGGAATTGTGTGCTGACCCGTTACCACCCTATAGTGCCATTGTTTTTCCTATTAACTGAGGTCTTGTGAGCACCATGGACTTCCCTTTTATTAATCTAGATTACTCAGAAGCATAAAACTTAAACTGGGGAAGGATATGGTATATTTTTAGCATCTGCATACTTGGAAATAAGGGAAACATTTAAAATCACTCATAACATTGTGGACAAAACAAATAATAACATTTTTCTCTATGTTTTGGACAATAAAATTCAGTCTTTTATAAAATTCTTCAATATCCATAATGTGCGTCAATCAACATTTATATATAAGACTCTTATATTCCCCATTAGTATTTAAGCACTCATATTTTCATAAAATTAAAAGACAAATTTAGGACCTCCAAAACAGGGAACAAGAGAAACTGCCCACTCCTGGAATAAGTCTGTTACTAATTAAACCTAGTGAAGCATATTCCTTTTTAAGTCCTAAGAGAAGAAATTATTCATCATAAGTATAACAGAAATATTTGACAGTCATTCTTACAAGGTAAGCATCATCAGTAAAATACTAAAATATATAAAGTTCATGTGAAAGGCATTTGGGGAAATTAATAATAAATTATTCAATAGCTACTATTTGTAAGAATTTTTATATTTAAAATCTTAATTATCAAATATATTTAAATCACTTTTAAATTTTATTTAGTTGAAATGTTCTATTTTTCTCTGCATATATAATGTACTTTTAGATTTATTTATTTTTTATTGCATTTAAAACAACCTGAGTAACATTATAAGTAACATTACAACACAACCTGATTCAGGATCACACCTTCTCAGATGCTTGTAACCATACACATTTTTAAAAGATACATAGCTTTATGTAAAACTTCAAACCACTTTATGTTATATTTAATGTATAACATGAGTTAACATTGACAATAGGGAAGAATAATTAACAAATTTATAGTACTATTTCAAAAGAACCTTCAGAAAGGTCTTAGCTTTGATTAGAAGCAGTGTGTGTGTGTGTGTGTGTGTTGTTTCCTAAGAAAGAAAGAATCTTGAGAAATTCTGACAAATTTATAAAACTTAGACTTTTATTCTATTAATGAGTCCAACAACAAATGTAACTTTTATTAAAGGCAATTAACTTAGTTAATATAATAGCTTTTCAATAGATCTGCAACAAATTTATTCCTTGATTTAGTCTGGAGTCATGCATCCATGTAGAAATATCCTTCCTATGAAGGTAAACTTTTTCTTTTGATGTATAAGTAATGATTTATAATGTACAAAATGCTTTCAGTTGATGAAGCACACAAAAATAATAAGCGCTTCCCTGTTTTTTTCCTATTTTTAATTTTTCCAGTTATTCTGGAAAGATTTTATTTGTTTTCATGAAATTTAAAATCATTGAACTTCAAGGATGATATATGATTTTATCACTTTATTGCAAATTAGTATTTCTAGAAAGAAGCCTACTATGACCTCAAATAAATGCCAATGTTGGGATATAAGTGTTGAATTAGCTTCATTGGTATAACATTTTCAGTTTTTCATGCTTTGTTTTAGTGGAAACACTTTACATAGAGGATCTCATAACACACCACACAATGCAATCCTATAATGTTGGGTAAATATGAGTATTCCCAACTAATTTTATTTATGAAACAAATGGTACAAGAAAGGCAAAGCAAAGGAGTTAGACACAGTCTTACTTTAGGTGTAATAGCTTATTGATTTCATCCAAGTTGCTTATTTTTATAATAATCAACCTTGTCATTGAAGCAGTTAGTTGTTTTAAATCCTACAGAATATATGAAGAAGTTTGATGAAGAAGTTGGCTTAAATGAAACCAAACTATTGAATCACAATTTTCATGAGGTAACATGCATGGTTACTTAAAAAAGTTTCATGTTTATTGTTAATTAGAAAAGAAGGAAAACCAAAAGGAATGAAATGTTTTCCCCTTGCTACAAATTAATAATAAAGTCACATGCATAATAGAGGTCCAACAATCGACAATGATTGGTGAATATCCGCATAAGGGAAACTGGAAATTTTCTTAGTGAGAGTATATTTACAAGACAGGTTTTCTAGTTTGAGAAAATCATTCAGGAACTAATAATATTTATAATTTGTGACCTTGTTGTAATTGGGAAATGTCACTTTTTTATGTATGTAATATAATTTGACCTTTATTGAACATGTCATAATGCTTGCTGTTTAGAAAATTCCTAACTAATCACATGCAAATTAATGATAAACATTATCTTTTTCTACTTATTAAAATTAATTTAAATATAGTTGATATGAAAATTGTGTTTTTTGTACTCTATTCATGACATGTTTGCTCACAAGAATGTTTTGTAAATGTGTTTTTTTATACTGGGATATAACACTGATATTTTGTAATATAAATTTAAATGTTGTTAGTTTATTAAGCTTCTTTTTAAAATAGAAAATTATAGGGTAACCAGAAAGTAATAACTTTCCCTGAAATTTAGGTTGGGGGTGGGGAGACATCATGAATTGCTAATAACAATCTTTAACACTCAAAGTGGTGCTGTGGAAAAACAAGTTTACCCCCAAAAGCTAACTTTTATTTTAAAAAGTGTCACATTTACATGAAACTATTAAATAAAATAAATAAGACTTTTTCTTTAGATAGACTCTAGTTGATCATTCTATTTGTAGACTAGAGAGCTTATAGTTTTCTTATTGAATCTGTTAAGTTAATGCAATATTATTCAAATGAGGTCATCTTTTGATTTTTACTATATTACTAATATTACTTGAATTAGATATTTCTAAATATCAAAAGTAAAATAATAGCAATTATTATCAACATAGTAAGTTTCTCAGGGAATATTTCTTTCAGATGCCCCCCTCCAAGATGAATTAAAAAGGAGGAAAAAGGCTCTT